TAAAAAATAAAATTTCACTGAAAAATCAGTCAAATTATCTCCTCAGTATTGCTATACTATTGCTAAAAATGGATGCAGTCAAGCACAAAGACCTCTTAAAGTAGAGTGATTATTAAAGAATAAAGAGAGACATCATTTTCTGCTAATAACTCAAGATTCATTCTTCATAAAATGACAATTTGAAGAAAGAAAAAGGACTAGCAGTTTAAATTTCCTCGGTAAACGCAGACACTTATGACTCATCAGTCAGCTACCTCTATATGAGAGGTAATCCAATTAATCCCACCAAGCTCAAGTCAATTTAGCCTAAAAATAAAAACATCATTATTTCAACTCTGATCATACCGCCTCCAATATTTGTATGATTGTTTTTGTGGTTATTTCTGGATTGGCTGTAGCTCAGGAGGTGGAGCGGAAGGGTGATGGTTTGTTCCCTGACTCCCCCAGTCTGCATGCCAAATATCCTTGGGCAAGGCACTAACCACAAGTTGTTCTCTGATGCATCCATCGGAATATGAATATATGTGAATGTTAGCTAGAAAGCACTTAAAGGATAGAAAGTTCTTCTGTGAATGGTTGAATGTTGTATAAAGTGCTTTGAGCGCTCTGCGAGAGTAGAAAGGCACTATATAAGAAATAATCCATTTAGTCCATTATGTTTGATCTTTTTTAATTGTAAACTGAATAGCTTCAATTTAAAAGGTTACTAAAGACTTTAAAACAAACATTGTTGGACATTAGAAAATCTGTGATGAGATTTTTTTTAATATAATTTTGGGGTATCTTATCAAGACAAATTGATTCCAGTCACTCAAAAAATAACTGCCACATTAACTGATACAGAATAATTACAACTTCACCTTAGACAAGCACACAACTAGTCTGTGGATCACAGAACTTTCTCTACATTAAATGAGCTATAACCTTGTGTAGAGCATAAAGGAGAAATCCTTCAGATATATCATTTTCAGTCATTTTTGTCACAAATTTATGCAAAGCCAAAAAGATGAGTGGTGACGGCACTGGTGTTTATGACAACCCTTCAGTGTACGTGGTAATGGGTGTGTTTAAAAGCATTTTGCAGCGCTGTAGGAAATTGAGAAAATTATTACCAATTTAATTTTTTTTTCACATGAATGCAAAAAAATGGCATGAATGGATCTAAAAATCTCACTTATGGCACTTTACTCAGCACATCCCCATTTCAGCCTACACATTAAAGGCTGATTACTGTGAAAACGGTGGCCATCATTTCACATATAGTGAAGCAGACTGTAGAATGATGCCCTAAATGTGCTTTAAAACACAGAAATATATATCCTTTCTGACTCCGCAGGCAAATCGTAGTTGTGTGATGAAAAATGGCTTCAGCCCACAGTATGGATAAGGGAAAAATGAATACACAAATAAACTAGAACAGGACTGAATCTAAAGTATATGTGGTTGCTAAAGGAGAATGCCTCCTGGAACACATAATACAGTCATAAAACATGACATAAATTCAGTCTGATGTTCTTAATCCCAAATGCTTCACGTTGCAAAGGGACCAATAAGCCCACCACACACACTTCACAGATTGCTACTCCAAAATGCACTGGAAACATTATAGCACAGGATCTAAGGTCATTGTCGATATGTGTTTAGTATTCAGAATGTGAGTTTAAGAGTCTATAGCAATCCTCTGGAGCGGAGTCAGATGAAACACCACCAGCATTGCAACACTCCTCCTGCAGACCGTTTTATTCCCTCCTGTGCTACACAAAGGATGTCGGTTACAAGCCAGCATCCTCCCTGTGGAACACTTGTTGTTTATTTGTTCAATTAAGATGTCTTGCTGGCAAGCGTTTGGCAAAACATGTACTATATTAAAAAGATAGAAAACCAATTGGCTCGATACTGTGTCACAAGTCCCTAAACACAGATTGCTTTTTGGTTTACTGATTGCAACATTTTAATGCTCTCTATGTCACAAACTTATTTATCTACATAAATAACGTGTCTTTCGTTCATCACACTACCTAATATAAATATGACACTGCATACATTTAGTCCAATGATTCTTTATGGGTACATAATCAGTATTTAGGCTATAAGATCAGTGAACAGGAACACAAAATCCTTTTTCTTTATAATGTGGAAAATGTTATTTAAAAAAAAAAATCAGTTGGTTTCCCTGCTGATGGTGCACAGCACTCTTTGGCATTCACTATGAGTGAAAAAAACATAATGATCAGCTATCATCTCAGCACAGTGGGCACATCAACCACACATGCGGAAACACTTCTTTGCAGCAGTGATAAAATGGTTTCTGGGTAAAGGTAGTCTGTGGTGAGCCACTCATTCATCGTGGCCATGTTCTTACCCATGTAGAGAGGGCTCACTGTGCATTCATTGTCGTGTAATAAGCTTGGGTATTTTTGTCAGTTTTAAATTAGTAGTCAACAACAACTAAAAAGTAAAACAATGCTCACACTCACAACAAGTGAGGAAGTCCAACCAAGTTAGGGACTTACTTACTTACTTGCTTGCATGGAAATAAAGTAATACCTTTAAATTAGATAAGAAAGTGCCAGGGTGAGAACAAAAACAAACAGTAAAAGCAGGGAAAATGAAGTCACTGCACTAATAAGCCTTTAGGAATAGAATAATTTGTTTCTGTCCTCTGGACAGGGAAGTGCAGCACATCTGTTTCTGTTACATTAAAATGGTGAGCTGAACTCTCTTTATGCGTTTGCATCTTTGAGCGTGTGATGCTTTGTAATGCAGTGATTTTAGTTCTTTTCACGTATTTACAGTGATTTACACGAAAGCCTTTTGTGAAATGGTGCATACTCACCTGGTGACAAGTTATTAGCAAGGCAGACCAGACGAATATCCCTGAGAGGACCTGGGCAGTCACTGTGTTTAAAAACATCCCATTCTGTATGATTGCTCCGTTGCCTGATACAATAATGGTCATGTTGGACATGCCTGACTTTGAAGCATCCAGGGCAGACGAATTATTTTCGGTTAATGAAGCCATGTCTTCCGAAGAAAGGTTCATCTGAAACAGAAAGAAAACACACCAAGTCGGTGGTGTTTTTTTTTTGTTTTTTTTTTTACAGACAGTGAGCACACGGCCCCTCTGTGTTTGAATAAGTGACTGTATGCTGCCCATTAGGCACAAGACAAAAAATGCAATAGTGTTTGCTAAACGGACACAAGAAGTGCCATTTTTAAAGAAAAGATATGAATGTGGTTCAAATGATCTTATCGACTCGTACCTTCTTTACTGTCAACAAAGAGATCTCCTTGTCCCGGAGAGGGCGGAAGTAGCTTTATCGCGTTTAGAAGTCACTGTCCACAAGCCAAAATTACACGACGAGCTTTAAGGGTGAAATATATTTCAGAACAGCTAAACGTGACAATTTAGGCCCATTTACTAATCGCTCGTTGACTTCATCCGCGACGCAGTCAACAAACTCGACTTCCTTGTTTGAGGCAGGTGTCTCGCAGAGGTCGAAGTCCACACAGTCGGAGAGCATAAAAAAATGCTTCTATAGAGTATACAGATATTACGATAGAACCCGAATTTACTGCGAGATGCCACGAAATAACAAATAAAATTATAAACAGCAGAGATTTGAACGTATCCTCGAGTGGCGACTCTGGGAAGCGGCACAAATCAACAGGTTTACAGGTGGAGGGTTCACGTGACCTGGGCTTGACGCCTGTCGTCATCACGTTGCTTCAGTCACAGAAAGTGCGGCACATTTCCGCTCACAGGTGCGCTTACACATGAGGCTAGAGGCAGAGGTTCGCATAGAGTTCAGTGGTTACGTGAAAGGCACATCAGGATCACCCATCATCATCATCTATGACACAGCCAAGGATATGCACCCAGACCCCAAGAATTATTGGTGAACTGGATGATTGCACCGACTGTAGCAGCATTTGCTGGCCTCCTCTCATATTATATACATCATGTATAACAAGACCACTGACTGTTGCTGCAAAATCACATAGACGGTGGCAGGACTTTCTTTAAAGGAGCCTGGACCAACAAACTCAGTGACACCTTGTTGCTGGTTTTGTATAATTAGACAAACATCATCTTATTCTTTACGTTGTCATATTATTGTAAAGTTTTGGTTATTGACTTTCCGTTTCTATGGGCTCTGCCTTCTGCCCTATTTATGGGGAAAAATCTAAGATAAGATTCAAAGATAAGACGGTATTCTCTGATGGATTTAGATGAATGCTCAAGCCTCTCATCAATGAGGAGCGCCCCTATGCAAAGTTACATGAAACAACAGGAAATTGGATGAACGCAGTGCTTTATTATGTTCCATTTCTAGTTCTACATTATTCATTTCTTTAGATGTTTTATTTAATGATGATGCTTTGACAAAAGTTGATAAATTTATAGTTACTTCTTGTCTTCTCTTCAAGGCAGACCCCGGGAGGAATTTGAGGAAGGTTACTTGGCTATGAAGATAATAAAATATGTAAAATATGACCTGGCCTCATTAAGGGAACATCGGGTGATATGACAAAAAGTGCTATTCAGTAACTGTTTATACTATTTTTATGAACTCACAACTTGTGACTGAATATTTAAAAAATGTTGTCTTTGTCTTTTCCTAATAATTTTTCCTTGACGTTAGTATAAAGAATCATGAGGGCAATAAAAGCTGTGAAAGAAAATAACGCCCAGTGCTCCAAAAATGCTTCTGCTTTATTTTACTTGATAATGTGACAGTGGACATTGTTGATGTGACTCATTTAAACTATGTTGGCTGGAATAAAAGTGGATAACAGTGAAAAATATCATTAATTAAAAAAAATAAAACCAAAAAAACGTAACAGGAAAGAATTCAGTTGCTGCTTTGTTTTCAAACTTATACTAACGTTAGTTAATTTATGAATATATTTTGAAACTGCAACAAGTTGTTTAACCCACAGGCAAACTATGAACACAGCACTTTAATAAAATCGGCTGGTAATGATGTTGTTGCCCTGTGAGACGCACTTTGTAACGTTGATTTAGAAAACTGTCTTGCTATACAAAGATAATTAGCTATAATAAAATGATCAAAGTGAAGAGGGCTGTAGTGTATCTCAATTTGCATTATGGCGTTGCTGAGAAAATGCTAATAATACTTACCCTTAACAAGTGCAAGAGTTAAAATTGATCATCTCTTTAAATGGAAAGCAACCATATTTATTTTTAGTTCATTTCTTTTCTAAATTCCAGCCTTGGTAATCAAGTGATATTATATCACCTTTATTTATTTCAGACAAGATACGTCCCTATTATTATAAAAGGGAAAGAAATTAACAAAAGTACTTTTGTTATATTTATACTGACTGCAGACCTATGAAACAGAACAGTGAGATTACATGGGTTGGGTTTTCTCAGATGGACTTTTCGTGGTCAGTTTTTATGTCAACAATGCAGTTTCAGTATTTCAGTTTGTTTAAATCATATTTTTTGAGGCAAGTTCTTATTGAACGTGAATGAAAACAAAAACATTAGAAAGGCACAAATTGTTTGATTTAGGAGAAACACAAGGAATTCATCACGTTTTAATTTAATACACCATTGAAATGTCTGCTTAATCTTTTGTAAACATGAGAAAGATATTCTTTTGTAAAGCAAGAGCCTGGAATATGTTCAATTCAGAAAACAGGTAGTTAAAAGTTTTCTGCCATGAAGAATGTTAAAAATATAAGATGGCATTCCTTTTAGCTTCATTTGATGCACTTACAAATTCACACACTCAGGCACTACTGCTATGCGAACTGGTTACGCAATGCTAGTCTGTGAGGGTTTTAGTTTCATGTCTTAGGATGAAATTTGGATTAAGATACTAACGTTGAAAATTGGACATAAATATGCAAATTGCTTTATTAAATAAGGTGCATTTATATTTTTGCTACATTGATTTGAACAGAACATGTAAACATTACATTCTTGAAATGTATATAATCTGAGTTATAGATTATATACATTTATGTTTTAGGACAATTCAGTATTTTTGTAATTTTCTCTCTCTATGCCACCAGTTTTGTCCCATTCCCATTTCAATCAAACAATCAAGATATGATAGAAGTAGCAGGATGAATTTTGAAACGTATAGAGTTATACTCTCTGCTCAGATCCAGCCAAATGCTGCAAAACTGATCAGACAGTGCTTCACAGTACAAATGGATAATGACCAAAAGAATACTGCAAAAGCAAACTAAGAGTTTTTCAAGGCAAAGTCATGGGATATTCAGCGTGCAAGCCAGTCACCTGATCTCAACCCCATGGAGCATGCTGTTGCGCTACTGAAGACAAAACTGAATGCAAAAAGGCAGTAACTGAATGTAGCAGCAGTAAAAGTCTGAAAGAGCATCTCAAGGTGAGAAACATTTGGTAATGTCCGTGGGTTCAATACTTCAGTCAGTCACTAACTGCATTTTAAGCCTCTGAAAGTGGGAGGCCTTGGATAAAAGTGCGTCTAACTCCTAAATAGTTGCAAATCAAAAAGACAGAAAACCAATTGCAAATCATTTCGTAAAACCACTTGAATTAAAGTTGACAGTCAGCACTTCAATCACAATTTCACTGCTTGACTTAAAATGCCCTGTTGGGTTGAAGCGAAAAAAAAAAAAGTGTCAGTTTCCAAATATTTATGGACTTGACTATACAACTTCACAAATGTAACAAAAATGTAGTATTTGTATATTACTGTCAGAAAATAAAATCATTTTTAGATGGCTAGAATAAAATAATCTTTTAAGAAGGCTGGTCATTTTTCTCTGAAATGAAATGAATATTTTCAGGGGTTTGGTCTATAAGTCCAGGATAAGACATCTGAAGGTTTTTCTTACTCCCATCTTACATTTAAACCAAAGAAATTGACCAAGCAAAACAAAATTGAGCATATTAATTATATTTAATGCATATAAAAGTTAGCTATTGTTCTGATATCAAAGCTCAAGTAGTGAGATGTTATAGAAACAAATGAATAACAAAATGTACTTGACAAAACCAAAGCTCTTATCTTAACCAAGCTCATATGCATCTTTAAATTCAGTTGAAAAAATACAAATGAATCACATGTTCTATAAAAGGCTTTTTTTCACAAAAGTACAAAGTTCTGAGGATGATGACAAAAATAATCCAGAGTGTTAATAATGACCAAAATATACAGTGATAACATCTTTTTGCAAACCATCACTTAATCAGCACACATTGAGCTTTTGAAAGCAAAATAACATGCAGAAAACCTTTCTTTTTAACAAACAGTTAATTATGCGTTTCATAAATTATGTTTTGTGGAAGACAATCTGCTCTGCACATTTATGTCTTGGAGACATAATTGTTTTAATCAGATTAATTTTTGGAGGAGTTTCATTTTAAAAAAGATGCCGAGATAAAACGTGACAGTGTATCCAGACGAACTGTATTTTACGCCGCCTACAGGCTTCATGTCCGTTTTAATTACTTCCTACCAGACTTGACAACTTTTGATCATCTCTTTAATTTGTTTTATTGCATCTATGGAGGAATCCTTCAGTGCCAGTCCCAGCAAGACAGGCCGGTTGCCAGATTCCTGCGACACGAACATCGCCAGGTTTTTGGCACAGACATGTGTCAGAGGCTAGAAAGAGAAAAATCAGGCATTAGATTATCACCAAAGCATTATTTGTTCAGTTCGCTTAAATCACACACATTATGACTACAACTAATTCATTTGCTGAGGTTCCCCTGCAGGGAAATCATACAACACACTTTAATTTTCTGTGTCATGACTGTAAACTTCAAAAAGCACAGAAAGCCTATGTAATGACCTCTATGTACTTTCTCACTCAATCTAAAACAGTTGTTCACTTTACAAGAAACAAGCATTGCAAGTATCACCATTTAAAATGGCTAGAGGAGCAAAAATAACAAAAAAGTATTCATAAGCAAGTAAACTTTGTATTAATCCAATAAGACACTGATACTACTTCTCCTGCAATGTATGACTGTGAGAAAATGACATGCTCATGCAGAGATGAAATAGGTTTTCTTGAGTAAATCTTAACAGACCACTGAGCTTCAGGCCTGCACACATCTAATTTCGCCACAATCCGCCTGAGCAGTCCAGAATCAATCTCATTTGCCCTTTAACGGCATGAAATGAGATACCCTGTGTTGCAACAAGTCTGCCTGATGTCCCGTGAACAAGTTTGCATCACACTGACACGATATTTGTGTGAACAATTTCAGCCAGTGTACCTCATCTTTGCCCAGCAGTACTTTTGTAGAGAACGTTGGGGTGCTTAGATCATTAGATCTGGAGTCGGGTGTGACAGAGATCAATGTCCCAATTTTGCCATACTGAGTGAGAACTACAAATATGTAATTACTGAACTCTGTACAGACGACTTCTGTTGGAATCCCATTGACTTCTCTCTGAGCTTGTTTCGATCTGATGACAGACTCAGACATTTTGTTAACCCTGCACAGAAAAAAAAGACAAAAATATGTACATGGAGTTTACAATGCAAGAGTATTTGCAGATTTTTAAAAAATTTAAACACAATATTTTAAATATTAATTATCTGCCACATGTTGTGGACAGGTTTAGTTTCCCACAGCAAAATTATACATCTGGAACTTTATACACCATGCAACTATGCTTACAATGACTATCACAATTTCTGTAGACCTAAGATAAATTCTTCAAATTGCATTTTCTATTACACCTAGAGTTTATTATCTCATATGACAATTAAACCGGCCCTTTCTCTAAAAAAAAAAAAAAAATCATACCACTATTCAAGTATAATAGGTACACATTAATGCTGCTAATCATGCCATAAAATAATCTACCAAAATGTTTCACTCATGTATTTATTTAGTGTGAACTTCTAGGTTTGTGCAAATGCAAATGCAAAACCCTCTCCAGTCAGCTTCAGGTTTTCTTGATTACTAAAGGGCTTGCTATGTGATGCATCCTCCCTGTTGTTTTTGTGTGCATGCTCGTTTTAAAACTGCACATCTGGTGGTTTCAAACCAGCGCTACAGGCATTTCTGACCGTGAATATTATCTCATTTATTAGCAAATTACATTTTCAAACTAACAAGCTATCAGACTTTTCAGATACAATGCTGCACTAAGTACAGCTAGAAAAAGCTTGCTTTGAAGAATTATGCCCTTACTAAAAACAACGCATTCAATCACTTGGATCAAAAATTGACTATATGTGTTATTTTCCTACCCTGTCGTCATCAACTCCCCACAAGGGATGCTGCATGCTCAGAGGCTAACGTTAGCTACACAGCTAGTCTGAGCTTAGACAGTGTATTAACCGATGGAATAAAAACACACACATTTTCCCCCGTCTGTGAACAAATTCCTCACCCTGTGTCTTCAGCTGTCCACAGTTTAAACTTTACTCTTCACAGAATCGCCTCACTTTAACTCGACTTCAGCCGTGCTCTGTCATTCAGCCTCCACCGTGAAAACAAACCGAAACGAACGTGCCTGGTTTTGTTGAGCGCGAGTACTCTGCGTGATGACGTTTTGACGTCACGCTCATTCCACCTCAGGACAAAGCGAGCAAGGAAGAAGCGCTCGCGGTCAGGTTGAATGCAAACTAGATTTGTATGTAAGCAACGTTATTGTAGTTAACTAAAATTAAACTAAAAAACAAAAATACATGTGAAAAAATTATTTTGGTTAATTAAAAAAAGTATTTCGGTTTTTGATAAGAAACAAGATACAAGTAAAACGATTTTATAAATTTCAAAAACTAACTAAAATAAAATAAAAATGTAGAGGAAATATCCTTAGTTTTAGTATCTGTTAGTTTGGTTAAAAAATATATTACAACTTATCTGATGAGTTATTGAAAGGCATGCATATTAATACTCTGAATGTCTACAATATAACATCTTTCAAAAAATTCATAAAGTTCCAAAATCTTGCCTTCGACACATGCCCTCCATACAATAATATTCAAAAACACTAAAACTAAAATTGACACTAATAAAAACTAAAATAAAAACCAAGCATTTTTAAAAAAATAAAAGCTTAACTGAAATAAGAAAATCCGCTTGGCAAACTAATTAGAAAACAGAAAACTATAATAACTGCATATAAGTCAGCATAAAGTGCAAAGAACCTTGATTCAAATTCATATTTATGTGTGGTTCAAACTATTTGTTTTTGTGAAATAAGTAGCTAATTGTTAGAGAGCAAACATATGACATTTACAAGCATCAGGAATAGGCTATATTAAAAGCTTCGTGAAGCTGCACCTGCTGTGACTATGTCTAACATCATGATAAAGTTTTTTTTAGTACAAACTTTTTCTATAGAAATTTTAATAAGTATACTTTTTCCATAGTTATTGGTTTTCCAAGTGTACAGCTGTTATGGTCAGTATGATTCCTTTTGAAAGTCCTGCAAAAATATATATTTAAGCAAAATGGGTAGCTGCAGCAAAGTAAATATACATCTCACAATAAAAGTTATTATCAAGCCCTCTTGTTTCTGGTTTGGTTTAGGAGAACAGTGTCCTTTTAGAAAGATTTGCAGGTTACCTTTTCATGCCCTTGGCATTGGTCTCACAAAACAGTTCCTTAGAAAATCCTCACAAACATGTTGTGGACAAGGGAAGTTTAGTTTCCCACAGACTTGAGGAATTAAAACACTTAATGTGTAAAGAGATCTTTGAGTTTTATTTTTCTCATAAATCAAATATTCAAGGTTCTGGCATTGTTCACTTTGCATTATTATACTCAGTATGATTTAGCCAACTTTCATAAAGTATTATCAAAAGGGAATTTGTTTGAGCTTAAATTAAATCGGATCCCCTGGCCTGGTACATTTCAATCAATATTAGCCAACAGAAAGAGCTTTTCCAAAGCAAGAAATCACAGAGGCAGCATGTTTTTAATTAACTGTCAATGGAGCTTTAAAGAAGCAGATAAAGTTACGCCTTTTATTTTTCAGTTTATTTAATTATTTACTTTAGCTGTGGGTTTCGTTAAAATGTGATATTTCACACTACTGGCTGAACAGTCCCTTTGTTTGATGAGGAGGCTGTAAAAGTCCATGGCACTATAATAGGAGATGAAAACAACAGATAGGGATGGACATTACAGTGTAATAAGTGGTATTTGCACTTCATCATTTTCTTTGTGCCTGACAGACAGTAATAAAAAATAGCTAGCACACATGGGATGAAAACCACCTGCAAATGTATTGCCTCGACATTTAACGTATTCTAGTATTTGTGTGTAGGCCAAGCAAGTACTGTTAAGTCGGCCCTTTACATTTAGACTACAGATTGGCCAACCACGGCAGTCAGATTTGCTAATACAGCTAAAGGAGATACAGGCAGATGAGGAATTTTCACTGTTGGCAAAAATGCTTGCATGACTGTTTTTTTCAAGCGGATGTGAGGCTTGACTGAAGTTTGCGAGTGCTGCATCAGGCTGATTCGAAAGGAGCCATCCCTATGAACATGACACATTCACAATGTCAAATAGAACAGGCTCAGCAGAATTGCTATGCACTCTGAGTAGGCAGCATTAGCTATGAAATTGGTTGGACCGCTCCCTATACTCCCTGACTGACCATCTGTGTCCTTGACTGATGATTCTGATCTAAACAAAATTGTAATGCAAATATCAATATATAGTATTTCTACATTAATGTATAGAATAAGCTGATCCTTTCTTTTGAATTTGGGTGAGTTAGAAAGCACTGTTTTATTTCCACAACATGAATAGAAGGCTTAGAGTTTTACACTTGGGCACAAGGTTTGGGGAAATTGTGAACATTCCTGTTGGAATAAATAAACATGTCCTTGTTGAAAATTGATAGAGCTACTTTCATAGCTGATTCAAAAGGATAAAGCTGCTTACAAACACAGCTTTCAGCTTTTTGATATCCAGAGAGTACACAATTTAATTTTACAGATAAATAAAAGATGACAGATGATAAGAAAATAAGACAATTCACGTTAAAGAAATAAAAGAAAGAAAGAAACAGAAATACTAGGATAAGGCATGTTGTATGTACCAGTCATGGTGGGCAGTCTTAACATTTGACTTATGCGATCTTTAAATTTTTGTGTTGTAAGCACATTCTGGGCATCATAAGAAGAATCAGGTTTTTCATTCTCAACTTGAAAATGGAGACCATATTTTTTTCTTCAAAGTTCTTCAAAGTTGAAGTCATTTTTTTTCAAAATGTGCATGAGCTGTTAGCAACTTAAGCTTTATGGTAATGTGAATCCTGTGCAAGACCTTAAAATGAATTTGTTGAATATTTGTGTTGCACAAAATGGTAAAAACTATTATTTATATAGATTGCCCATTGATGTCTAATTACTCACTATTTAGGTCTGATGCCCATTTATTTGAAGAGAGCACACTGTTCCTAATAAAGGACGCAGAGCTTAAAACTATGGATATCAGTTTTGTACTTTGGAGTTTCTTTCAGCTGTATATACATCATGTAAAGCTACACTTTCAAGTTCTTCTTACATTCAAGATCAACACACAAAACAGAGATCTGTGCTAGCTACATGGCCCCTTCACTGAAGGTTCTCATAAGTTTTTTCATCCTTTAGTTTTGTCTTCACCTGAGTTACATCAGTAATATTTATTCAATCTTTAATCAGTTTGAATATGTCCTCAGGGTCCTTGTTATTTCAATTGCCAACAATTATGACATGAAAACGCAGGCATGTGTTGCCAAGCTGTTTCTAAAATCTTGCCTGCTGTGTTTTTTTCCACATCACGGATTTTGACTTCAGATCTCTACATGTAAGAGTCCAAAGAAGCAAAGAAAAAACAGTGGTTTCAACAGGTTTTTGGGATATGGTTTAATGACAGCAAATGTCACTAAGACTTTGAAATGAGTGCATGTCCGTGTATTATTAAATAGCAAATTACTAAAGGCATTGCTGTAAATAATGAGTTTTAGAGACAATAACGTCTACAGTGGTTTTTCCTGGGATTCAAGGGCTCTTGCTGTTTCCAGGTAAATTGAGAAACCATATAGTCATGTGCACCTGTAGCTCAGGTGAAAGAGCAGGTCATCTACTAATCACAAGGTCGGTTCAATCCCTCTCTGCTCCAGTTTTCCATAATCCGTGGGCAAGGTAATTATCCCTTTTATAATAAGATTCATGTAAAGTCAGCAATATGTGTTTTTGTAATCAATGCTTTGTATTCTTCTCTTCATCTATTTTTATATTTGCTGCTTTTGCCCATGATGTCACTAAAAGTAGCCTTACACCTGCACTGAATGAATGCTTTGGAGGTCCTTGAAAGCAAAGCTTTTTGATTTCGAATCACATAAGTGTGGACATTTTATTTTAGTTTCTAGCTGTGTAAATAGATTTGCTCTCAAAAGGAAAAGGGAAGTCTGACCATGGTACATTTCTGGAAGAGTTACTGATACTTAAGTGTTCTCAGTTCTATAAACACATCCCATCCTTCTGTCTGTATGAGTAGTCAAGCGTTTTCTCTGTATCACACACAGACGGTCTGTGTCAAAATGTCAACCCATGTAAAAAATATCTTATTTTGCTGAACGAAGCCACAGCTGTTCCATCACTTCATTTTGATGTTCTGTTTCATTAGATTTGTCTCACCAAATGTCTTCTGAATACACTGAATGCATATAAAGCCTAATATGTTTCTTTTTACACCCTTTTTTGAATGATAACTACCTTAATATTTAGTCATCAGTACTGACAAACATTTTCCTCAAATCTGAAAAGATGAGCAGCAAAGAGCCAAGCCTTCACACCTTAGTGTGAGTTACAAACACACCCATCCTGTATGTATAAACCTCTACATAAAACCACTCATAAACAACACATACCCTAACAAAAAAAAAACACAAGTCGTGAACCTCAAACAGGCCTTTAAAGGTTTATTCCAAAGTGAAGACCAGCCTGAACCTCACTCACAAACTCTATAAGTTAAACTCAATAGGCTAGCCATAAAAGTATACATGCACACACACACACACACGCGCACACACAATTATTACCCTGGTGGCCACTAGAGTGCTGTGCTGTATTACAGATAGAACTCAAAAGCGTCTTTATCATGACATTTTTAAGTTGCACTACTGCTTTCTGGGACTGACCACTGGGGCTACTATCCGCGAAGTGTTTCTGAAACAGAGACAACAACAAGCCACAGTGAGCAGAAATCATATGTGCTGGCAAAATGTCAGACAGCCTGTGATTTACCTCTTCTGTCTTAGAACTACCCAATTACTATAATTTTTTAAATGATTTCATTAAAGTTTATTTAATAAGATGATGGAAAGATGCCAGTGTGAAATTGGTAGTTTGAAAGCTTTGTAAAAGCAGCAGAGGATGACTATAATCTAGGGGGGGATAGGAGCTGTACATTAATAATTAACGATTACATCACAGGCCAGAGTTTCTGGATTTGAAAGATCACTCTCAAATCAAAGCCAAAAAGAAAGAAAATCTCTGCCTGCAAGCTTATGATTGACCAGGGT